TACGACGGTTTTACGTTTACGTTTTACGTTTAAAACGTTAAAATAAAGTAAGTAAGTACTAGTACATAGTAGTAAGTAGTACGACTCCGTCCTCCTCTCTCTCTCTCTCTCTCTCTCTCTCTCTCTCTCTCTCTCTACTCTGAGTGAGCAAGAGTTGGAGAAATGCTCCAGCTTAAAAGTAAAAAAAAGGCAAAACTCACATTTGTTAGTAAGACTGAGAGAGTCTGATTGTCAACTCATTGAGGTTATTTAAAACTTGGGAAAACCCAACGTCTACACTTTTACAACTCAAAAGACCACCATGTCGAGTAGAATCGGCTTCTAACCTGATTTTTTATTCATGCTTGTAAAATAAAATGGCTTTTTCAAACTAAATACCATTTCTTGTTTCATTAAATTGGAAGAATGGAATTGATCATCTCTTCTTCTTTACTGGAAGTAATAATGCAGGGGTTATGGGAACACCATTCCAGCTTTCTGAGGATGGAATAGAACTGCAATTCGCCACGAATCACATAGGTGTGAAGATCTTGGATTATCCTTCTGCATGCCTGTAGATGCTGCTGCCCTTTTAAGTTACTAATCCATCTCACTTATTGGACATGGTAGGGAAAGTGCACCATACCCCAACATGGTTGGACATATTGGAGTATGGTCCATATACGGACACTTGGTTGCGAGTTGATCCCCAACCATTCATTCGAGGGAATGGATGGTGAATATGGAGTATTGTATACAATAGGCATAATTTATTCGACCATGGTATACTTTCTCAATGTGATTACCCGATTCACTATGTTGTTTATATTGACAATTGACAACTCACTTTTTTTTTTTATGAAGTGTGATAATTTGAGCCAATCTCCAAGAGTATTTCATGACTCTATATTTGGTCTTTTATTCAGCCTTTGAAATCAATCTTTTCTGAAAAACGAAGTATGGATTTTAAAAATGTGACAAGCTTATCTTTTATTCTTCTTTCTTGCAATGATGATATAATGTGCTATTATACTTTGAGTAAGCATGTATTGTAATATTATATTAGGTAAAATGATGTAGGTAGGAGTGGGCTTGCTAACTATCATTTTCTTGTAGGTCATTTCCTCCTGACGAATCTTTTATTGGAGAACATGAAAACTACGGCAAGGAAATGCAAAACAGAAGGAAGAATAGTGAATGTTTCTTCTGATGGTCATAAATTGACATATCGGGAAGGAATCTGGTTTGATCAAATCAATGATAAGTCAGGGTATTATTTTGCAATTTTCTTGACCAAAGATGTTTAGATGAACATTTAGAAATTTGGCTTCGTTCTTCGGGTAGGGTTCAAACTAAAATATTGAGGTCAGATTTTTTTTTCAAAACAGTTTTGTTGAAAAAATATTAATGATAAATGGGAAATGATTGAATCTTTGTTGGGTTTCTGTCTGGGTCTACTGTACCTCGTAAACAATTGTAATTTCAATTTTCAACCAATTTTGTTATGGAAAAGTATACAAAGAGACCATTTACTTGTAGCACGAGGGGATCACAATGTCCTTCAGATTTCAATATTGATTGGTTTTGAGCATGTCATTGACTAGACTCAGAGTTCAAAAATAAATTTGTGGAACTTCATGACACACCCCAAGCCATCCAATTTGATATCTATTGTCTAGAGGTAATTGCGACCTCTTTGTAAGAAAGATAAATGGTCTCGTAGTACTCAATCCCTTTTGTTATAGTTATCTCACGTTTGTTCAAGTGATCAATGAATTGTAACAGGTAAGTTAATCGTTTATTTTCCATCATCAGTGAATGATTCCTTTCACTTGGCCTGCTTTGCCTAGTGTATATCAATGAATTGTGAACTGTTAGAAAAAAATAAATCCAAACCTGGCATCTTAGTCCCATGCCCTAAGCCCCTAACTGATTTGGCCAAAGTAACAAGTTCATTAATTATGGATTTCTCTATTTGCCCACCCATTGCCATTTCTATCAGGCCCGAAATCTCTGTATAACTGAAATCTGCCAGAATACTTGCACTTGGATATCTGATGTTGTCAAATTAGATTGTTCTCCCCATCGTAAGCTCATTTCTCTCTCCTGTTATTGTACATCACGAGATCCTTTCTCAGAAACCTTTTATTGGGTATTCTAAAAGTGAGCTTTTTGCCACTTTTCTTATTTCCGTAATTATCTTTTTCTCAACCTGCAGGTATAGTTTTATTTTCGCGTATGGCCAGTCAAAGCTTGCTAACATACTGCATGCTAATGAGCTTGCAAGGAGATTAGTGGTATCTTCTTAACTCACACACAGAGGATTAGTCTGCAAAGTGTTTTTAGTTCAAATTTTCAAATTGTTTTCTAATTGTTAATTAACTTTCATCCATTAATCTTTAAATCTATCTGTCGACTAACTTTGGATGACTTGTTATGCAAATCTGACACAAATTTCATATTTACCAAAAAGAGGACCGCTTTCTAATTATTCTTAAATACAAAAATGCTTCTTTGACATCAGCTTCCTGTTTCTAGGATCCTGCTGACATAATTTGTACACTGATTTTTATTTATTTTTTTCTGTTTGAGCAGGAAGAAGGGATAGACTTAACTGCAAACTCAGTGCATCCAGGAGCCATAGTAACTAATCTTTTGCGCCATCACAGCTTTCTAAATGGTGAGGTATTCCTTAATAGGATCTAGTTTTATGTTGTCAATTGTTACATCCGAAGAAAACAATTTAAATTGGAATTTAGTTTCAATTTTTTTTACAAGATTGCATTTGCAGTCTCATTCAAGAGATAAGAGTATATCTTCACCTTATAGTTTTCTTTTTCACATTCATATATTTAGTGAAAAATTAACTTTTGGTAGGATTTTTGTCCTTGGATACTGAATAAGACAATGACATTGAATGGTGATAGATCAGAAAGGGTACCAGTGGATCATGGTTGAAGCTAGTAAGAGAAGTGGGCAAGAATGATATGTAAACGTTGCTAAAATGGTATTTGGGATTGATCTATATTATAATTGCTCAATTCTGAAGTGAATTCTTGATGATATACCTCATACAAGTATGGTAGGCTACATCATATAAAGAATGTCCCATTATGGTTAGCATCTGTTAGTTGTTGATCATTGGCGTATGGGTTTCCTTTTGGTTTCTCTATTCTCATGTTAACATAGAGATTGGCATGTGCCAGTTGAGCTTTTCAACATATATGTGCATAAACATATGCAAACATACAACATATATACATATGCATACGCATGCAAACTTCTTACACATACATCTGTGTATTGTTTATACATATGGATACATGGATATGTTTGTCTAAATAAGGATGCTGTGGTACATGCAAAGTCCACTCATGCATTCATTGTAGACCTGCATATATGTCAATGTAGAACTCCTTACACATACTGATATACATGCAATTGTATGCAAACATACATATGTATGTTTATGTGTTCATATTTTCATATTTTCATATTATATTATTATCTGTGTTTTTTACACATATATAAACGCAATAATAGGGGTATTTTTATCCAAAAATATGACAAATGCTCCCCTCAACTCATACTTCATAATATAGTTGAGCTATAGACTGTGAAAGCCACTATGAATCTGGGATTGGAAATCTCAATATTTATTTAAAATAGAATTTCTCAAATTGGAAATTGATGATACAACATGATGGTTGTTTCTCCAAGGTTAAGTTTTTAAATGGCTCGAGCCCAAAGTGATAAGAAACTGAAATTAGTTATTCAAATTCGCTTCCTTCTTCAACATGGGCCCTTAGATGAAAGAGAATATTAATAAATGGTGAAATTTTATTAAGATAGCACATAGTTTTTGTTTTTTGTTCGTATTTTGTTTGTTCGTTTTTTTTTTGGTTCTTTTTTTTTTTTTCCTTTGGGTTAGCATTGCAGCATAGCAGTCCAATCTTTGTGTTACTTGGAAATGGAATTAATACATTCTAATCTACTTTTCAACAGAGATTTGTTTCTTCTTTTATGCATAAATCAATTCAATATAGATGTGCATCTTAGTCACTCTCTCATAGACACATAAGAGTATACATGGTATTGGAACTTAGATTGAAATAATGTATGCACTCAATATTAATCCTCGGAAATCCTACTTTTAATTCAATCCGTAGTCGTTGATATTGTGGGTTCATTCTGTAGGTATCGTGAATATGTTCGGCAAGTATGTTCTGAAAAATATACAGCAGGTAAGAGATAATACTGTTAATGACTTCTTTTCTTTTCAAGCTATACACATCCATATCTCATCGAATTCTCTCTCTCTCTCTCTCCT